GTGCTTAAACAGTGTCAGTTTCTGTTTCTCACACAGAACTCTGCAAACTCAGTGATGAAGCTACTGCTGCAAACAAACCAGTTCCAAACTCACTAGTTTAAGGCAATGTGTTCATGATTGCTAATAAGTCTGTGGGTCTGTTGGCTAGTTCTTCTGGATGTAGAAGGGGTCCTTGATGGTGGATGATGAGCTCCAGGTCAGTCAGGCAGCTTTGCTGATCCTGACTCAGTCTCGCACATGTGTGGGACTTGGCTGGCATCAGGCTAATCTAGAATGGCCTTAGCTGGACAGCTGGACTTTCCTCCACATGATTCTCTTTCTCCAGTAGAAATACCGGAGTTGTTCACATGGCAGAGAGACAGGGTTCCAAAGGAATGAGAGGAGCCGGCTGCGCCTCCTGGAGCTTACGTTTTTTTAGAGTGATTATGTCATTCATCATATCTTATCACACCATATTGGCCAAAAAAAGAAAAAGCCAAAAGTTCAGCATGGAATCAAAGAGGGGTAAAATAGGCTCCATCTCTTAATGGATATTGCTGAAAAATTAGATTGCAAAGGGTGTGAATACAAGCAGAAGAGGAGGATTGTGGCTATAGATTTTTTGAAGTGCCCAGGATATTTTTCTTTCTTGTAAGGGACTGGGTCATCTTGTTACTATTTCATGAATTCTACCAGAAGACACAAGACTCCAGGGTCAGAGACAAAGGGCAGTTTACAACTCATGGCACAGCAAGGAGCATGTGCTTCTTTTTGGTTTGCCTCCTTCTTCCAAGCTATACAAATCCCGTGTGGGAGGCACGGATGGGATTCTACAGATGCCTGCTCATGGAGTATATTGCATTATAGAGGGAGAGCATGAGGCTTAAAGTGCTTTTATAACAAGCAGACACAAGCCTGATATGTATCCAGGAGGAAGCATTAATTGATCCCTCAAGGCTGTTCTCTGAAAACAGAATTCTGAGCAATAGCCCAAGTTAAGAACATCAGGGCTTTGCATTCTTGATATGCCTAGCAAGCATGCTCATTGTCCATGGAGGACTATCTCTCCCCACGCAGGGATATTTCAGAAATGAATTTATAACAAGAAGGATGAGGAAAAGCAGTATTTTTGACACTTACTATATGACAGAAATGATCCCATTTGCCAATTCCATGATATAATTTATCCGATTTAATTTCAACAATCCTGTGAGTTAGAGGTTATTTTTTCCCATTATAGATGATGAACCTAAGAGCGAGAAAGATTAGAGCAATTGTATAAGATAAACCACATAGTTATCTCTAGGGGTAGGGATAGTTATCCCTAGCATGCCTAGGGATGGTGGAGTAGGCATTCTAACCTGGCTTATCTGACACCAAAGCAAGATATCTTTTTTTTCCCTAATAGATATAGTCTACCTCTGTTGCCTGGGCTAGAGTGCAGTGGCATCATCATAGTTCACTGTAACCTCCAACTCCTGGTCTGAAGCAATCTTCCTGCCTCAGCCTCCTGAGTAGCTGGGGCAACAGGCTTGTACCATCAAGCCCAGCTAATTTTTTTCTAGTTTTTGGTAGAAATGGGGTATTTCTCTTGCTAACGCTGGTCTTGAACTTCTAAACTTAAGTGATCCTCCCATCTTGGCCTTCTAGAGTGCTAGGATTATAGACTTAAGCCACCACACTCAGCCCAGGACACTTTAACTGTCACTAAAGATTTGGTGGGTGGGACCTAAGAGAAGGCAATAAGTTGACCAAGGGCACAGGGAATATAGGATGCAGAGCTTAAATATGAAACCATGTCTCTCGACTCCCAGATATAGGGTTTAATATCTTAATAAGTAAAAGCTTTTGCTTTCATTCAAGCCTGGTCCTCCCTGGAGATGGGCACCTGGAACAAAAGAGCAAGAGGCTGGTTCTGGGTACTCCATAATGATGTTTGGATTGGGGAGGGCCTCAAGAAATCTGGGACCGAGTCCCTTCTTTGTCTCATTCTATGATCAGGCCAAGTGGCAGCACCTGGCCTCAGAAGGCAGTGCCCGTCTGGACATGTTTGAGCACATCAGCCTCATGACCTTGGACAGTCTGCAGAAATGCATCTTCAGCTTCGACAGCAACTGTCAGGAGTGAGTCTTTGCCCATGGTGTGGGAACTTGAGCCACAGACCCAAGGGAGTAGGTCTGACCCAAGGGAGGGCGGACTGACCAGAACAACCACAAGAGCCTTGGTGGAGCAGGTACTTCATGCCTGAGCTTTGAAGGATAGAGGAGGGTTGGTAGAAATGTGTGAGTGAAGGAGGCTAGGATGAGCGTGTACATGGAGCACGTACAAGAGACAGTGAAAATGAGGTTGTAGAGGATGACAGGGGATAGAGCTCAAGCATATTGAAAACCCTAAGAAAGTGGTATGAACTTTATCATGATGTTTCAAGGAGACAATTGAAGGTGTTTGAGTTGAAGATGGGCATGATTAGAAATTATCTAAGTGGAGAACTGACTGTCATGTAGACACTAGACAGAGTTGACTTTGGATGCAAGGATGCTAGTGTGGGGGCAGGCTCATAAACTAGTTGGAATCTGATAATATCTGAGCTATGCCCACAGTACTGGGAAAGAGAAGGGGTAAGACTAGATATTGAGTAAGAGACAGAGGAATGGAGCATAATGTACAAGCTGTGTTGTGGGTGCCTAGTGGTGCATAGAGAGCTCACAGAAATGAAATCCAGGAAGAGAGTTTGTAGCCTTCAGTTTCATTACTGATCCCCTCTGTGCATCCATGGGACCATCTTTTTCTGGAGGCTCATTGTCCTGATGGTAGGTAGATCCTGTCTGTCATTGGGAGGTGCTCCTGGGGCTCCAGGTGTGTTCAGTTGTTTCTTTCCCATTCCCTCATCTTGCAGAAAGCCCAGTGAATATATCGCCACCATTCTGGAGCTCAGTTCCCTTATAGAAAAAAGGAGCCAGAACCCCCTCTTGTTCCCAAACTTCCTGTATTATCTCACTCCCAATGGGCGGCGCTTCCTCAAGGCCTGCAGGCTGGTGCATGACTTCACAGATGCTGTCATCCAGGAGCGACGCCGCACCCTCCCCAGGCAGGGTATCGATGACTTCCTCAAGGCCAAAGCCAAGACCAAGACTTTGGACTTCATTGATGTGCTCCTGCTGAGCAAGGTGGGCTTCCTGGGATGGGAATTCAAAAGAAAGAATGGAGCTTTATGTCTAATCTGTATCAAAGAATCCGAACTTGAACCAGTGGGTAATGGGGAACCATGGAAATCACTGGAGTGAAGAAAGGTTGGCCGGAGATACGTTTTAGAGATAAGTCTGTGAGGTGTAGCCAGCAGGTGACTGCTAGTTCTGAAATTGCAAAAACCCTGACATTTTAATTTATTTACAACTTATTATGCTATTCTGTCACATTTTTAAATGTATCTATATATGTGTGTCTTTGTCTATGTCTTCATGTCTGAAGATTCACCTAACCCCTATATCAGAGCAGCCCATTTATTATTCAGCCAGAATAGGACTTTAGTGCTGGCTTCCCCCTCCCAAATTCCTCCCAGGGAAATGCAATGTCTTTACCTATTAGTGCACCAGAAATTACACCACAGAAAAGGGGGCCCCACATTATGGGTCT